ATTTGTCTACGTACTTTGATGAGCACTTCTTCAACAGTTCAACCCTAGCTCGTGGACACGTGATTGATCTATTAGTAAGATGGAAATATGTAATTGTTGCTTTTACTCCTCCCAAATCAAGTATCATGTAGACAGAAAGAGGTATCAAATTAACACTTGCACCTAAATCACATAAATCATTAAAAGTTCAACATTTTTCAATAAAGTATGGTAATTTCAAACTCCCCAGGCAATTCGTTGAGCAAAACAGCAATGCCCTGACAATCCAAACTTGCATGACTGAATTGCATTAGCTGATGAGTTCGTAATGATACACTCAACTTTCTTTATCCAGTTGAGCTAAAATGGCTGTTAGCGTGTCGACCTTATGAAGTCCTGCAATTCTTTTTCCACCTGAACGATCTGAAGGTCAAAAATGCACTAGTGACGGCCAAACCCTCTAATATTTCAACTTGATGTGCCGTCTTTTTGGTAACCGTTCCATCAGAGACAGTCAACCATGGCATTTCTAGGAGGATTTAGTCCAATATAGAAGTATTAGACTTGAAACCATTCCTACAATTCGTGTCGTTGACACTACCTCTCCAGGCCTCATAGTAACAAGTTGGGAAAATTTGGTGATCGAATCTCTCTGGCAATTTTCTTGGACCAAAAGAATTTATTCAGTATGATTGTATCACTCTAAACTACTAGATACTCAAAGAGCTGCCCATCAGTTAAACTGAAGTCTCGAAATATAAGGTCCGTTTGATTGCAAATGTGGAAAATTGGTGAAAAAAAAATGTTTTACAGGGAATTGAATTGTCTAGAAATTATTTTACTGAGAATTGTAATTAATTGTATTTTATTGATATAATTTTCCACCTGGAAAATGTTGAAAGTTTGGTGCCCGTTTGACTTCGTTTTTTTTTTATGAAAATTATCAATTAAAGTGATAATTTTTTCTAACATTGGGTCTAGAATTTGTTCCAATTGCCAAAACAAGAATAATAATAATAATTTGAAAAAAAAAATTATCATACCGAATATCATTCGTTTGGCTTTATTTTGTATGGAAATTGTCAATAAAAGTGAAAAAATTTTACCATTGTGTCTAGAATTTTTTTCAATTGCCAAAAAAAGAAAAAAAAAAAAAAAAAGGAAAAACTTTTACCACAAAAAGGCAAGAAAACCAATTCGCAATTCCCTAGAAAATTGGCGCGTGAAGGAGCTTCTAGGAAAACCAATTCCCTAGAAAATTTATCCTATCAAACACCTAATTTGTTGGAGGATAACGTTTTCCAACTTCCCTAGAAAATAAGGGTGTGTTTGATTGCAATGGTGGAATTTGAGTGGAAAGAAAATGAATTTCAGGGAATTGAATTGTCTAGAATTCATTTTCCTGGGAATTGTCAATTAATTGTGTTTGATTGGTATAATTTTTCATCTGAAAAATATTGAAATTTTGGATCTTTTGGTATTCGCTTGACTTTATTTTTCATTGAAATTGTCCATTAAAGGGATATAATTTATTACAATTGGGAATAGAATTTGTTTGAATTGAAAAAAAAAATTGAAATTGACAAAATTATAAAAGGCCCTTCTAATACAAAAACTGAGGCCCGTTTCCTACTCTCCTCCTTGGCTCCGTCTTCTCCATCTCTCCTTATTGGCTCCTCCGTTTTCTCCTAGCAACAGAACCAGCGCCACCAAATGTCTGGTTGTTGGTAGAGCTTAGCAAAAAGGATTGGCCAATACGATTCGAGCTAAATTGATGAAGACCCATATATGTATGTTGTCCGTCATAATGAGGAGGAGGTAATGGTGGTGGTGCACGACCGCGAATCTCAATGTCGGCGTCGAAATTTGGGATGAACTATGCGTGGTTCGCTGCATTCGAACTGGTATGGAATTGAACCTGATTTAAATCATTTCTTGATGATATGGGACCATGAAACTGCTCACTGTGATGCGTATTAGTGCCTGTAATGGAGTATGGCCGTCGGTGTTGGAGGATTGGCCGGATTTGGTGTTGAAACTGTGTGTGAAAGCTTGATTTTGAGCTCGAATTTCGTCTGATTTTGGACGTGTTATGTCCGGTTTTTGGTATGAAATTGAAGAGTGGAATGAGAACGTGTTGATGGTGTAGAAATTCGGTGGTTTGTCCGGCGGCACACTGGATGAATTTGGAGTAGAAGGTGCCGGCGTAGTGGATGAATTTGGTTGCAATTCCCACTTGCCAAGAAAACAAAAACCCTGTTAAATCATGGGAAAACCAATTCCAGTATTTTAAGGAAAAGAGGGTCACGTGTTGGTAAAATAGAAAATGTTTTCCCTGGAAAACATATCCTATCAAACAACGAAAAAGTTGGAAAATGGTGGGAAGTTTTCCATCTTGCCTGGAATTTAAGGTCTATCAAACATGGCCTAATGCATTTCAAACAGGGCCTAAGTGTTTGGATTATTGTTCGGTTTGCCTAGGAACTAAAGTACATTCTGAACCATGTTTATAACATTGTTAACTCAGATAAAATTAGCAAGTTCAAATGCGAGATACGCTATGTGACTGATTTTGAACAACTGGTGTAGCTATCAACTCTTCCATAAGTCTAGCATTCTTATCGATCATAATTGCATTATGCTTTTCTGTGTTACTAGCCATCGTGATTTCTTGCTATTTTTGTTCTGCTTCTTTTTACAATAATTCCACCTTACTAGAAGAATTTCACCAGAACTTTACCAGAAATCTCACATGGGGGTGGGTCCCATTGTGAATAAAATATTGCAAAAAATGTGGGCCCACCCCTATTGTGTCTTCTCTGTGGGTTTTCTGTGTGTACAGTATACAGTACAAACAGCATGGTTGTTCTTTTTATTCTTTCTGTTACAACCTCAAGGTACGTGATCTCCAAGTCAGATGGCACTAGATCACAGTGTCTTGAACTTCGCATGCAAGAAGCCTAAAAAGAAGGAAGAAAACATCATTATCTATAAAAGAAAAATCAAGAAGTAAAATAAAGTAGTCAAGTTTGAATTAAAGTTATAATTAAATGAAAATAAATAGATAAACTACCATCCCCGACAATGACGCAACAAACG